CCCCTGTCCCCTGCCCTCTACATGAGTGTCTGACCCCTGCCCTCTACATGAGTGTCTGACCCCTACCCTCTACAGGAGTGTCTGACCCCTGCCCTCTACATGAGTGTCTGACCCCTGCCCTCTACAGGAGTGTCTGACCCCTGCCCTCTACAGGAGTGTCTGACCCCTGCCCTCTACAGGAGTGTCTGACCCCTGCCCTCTACAGGAGTGTCTGACCCCTGCCCTCTACAGGAGTGTCTGACCCCTGCCCTCTACATGAGTGTCTGACCCCTGCCCTCTACATGAGTGTCTGACCCCTGCCCTTCTACAGGAGTGTCTGACCCTACCCTCTACAGGAGTGTCTGGACCCCTGACCCCTGCCTCTACATGAGTGTCTGACCCCTGTCCCCTACCCTCTACAGGAGTGTCTGACCCTGTCCCCTACCCTCTACATGAGTGTCTGACCCCTGCCCTCTACAGGAGTGTCTGACCCCCTACCCTCTACATGAGTGTCTGACCCCTGCCCTCTACAGGAGTGTCTGACCCCTGACCCCTGCCCTCTACAGGAGTGTCTGACCCCTGCCCCTGCCCTCTACATGAGTGTCTGACCCTACCCTGCTACATGAGGTGCTCTGACCCCTGCCCTCTACAGGAGTGTCTGACCCCTGACCCCTGCCTCTACAGGGTGTCTGACCCCTGACCCCTGCCCTCTACATGAGTGTTGACCCCTGAACCCCTGCCCTCTACATGAGTGTCTGACCCCTGACCCCTGCCCTCTACAGGAGTGTCTGACCCCTGCCCTCTACATGAGTGTCTGACCCCTGCCCTCTACATGAGTGTCTGTCCCCTGCCCTCTACAGGAGTGTCTGACCCCTGCCCTCTACAGGAGTGTCTGACCCCTACCCTCTACATGAGTGTCTGTCCCCTGCCCTCTACATGAGTGTCTGTCCCCTGCCCTCTACAGGAGTGTCTGACCCCTGACCCCTGCCCTCCTACAGGAGTGTCTGAACCCCTGCCCTCTACATAGTGTCTGACCCCTGCCCTCTACATGAGTGTCTGACCCCTGCCCTCTACAGGAGTGTCCTGACCCCTGCCCTCTACATGAGTGTCTGACCCCTGCCCTCTACATGAGTGTCTGACCCCTGCCCTCTACAGGAGTGTCTAACCCCTGCCCTCTACCCTCTACAGGAGTGTCTGACCCCTGCCCTCTACATGAGTGTCTGACCCCTGCCCTCTACATGAGTGTCTGACCCCTGACCCCTGCCCTCTACAGGAGTGTCTGACCCCTGCCCTCTACATGAGTGTCTGACCCCTGCCCTCTACATGAGTGTCTGACCCCTGCCCCCTACCCTCTACATGAGTGTCTGTCCCCTGCCCTCTACATGAGTGTCTGACCCCTGCCCTCTACATGAGTGTCTGACCCCTGACCCCTGCCCTCTACATGAGTGTCTGACCCCTACCCTCTACATGAGTGTCTGTCCCCTGCCCTCTACATGAGTGTCTGACCCCTGACCCCTACCCACTACAGGAGTGTCTGTCCCCTGCCCTCTACATGAGTGTCTGACCCCTGACCCCTGCCCTCTACAGGAGTGTCTGACCCCTGACCCCTGCCCTCTACAGGAGTGTCTGACCCCTGACCCCTACCCTCTACAGGAGTGTCTGTCCCCTACCCTCTACATGAGTGTCTGACCCCTGCCCTCTACATGAGTGTCTGACCCCTGACCCCTGCCCTCTACATGAGTGTCTGTCCCCTACCCTCTACATGAGTGTCTGACCCCTGCCCTCTACATGAGTGTCTGACCCCTGACCCCTGCCCTCTACATGAGTGTCTGTCCCCTACCCTCTACATGAGTGTCTGACCCCTGACCCCTACCCTCTACATGAGTGTCTGTCCCCTACCCTCTACATGAGTGTCTGACCCCTGACCCCTGCCCTCTACATGAGTGTCTGTCCCCTGCCCTCTACATGAGTGTCTGACCCCTGACCCCTACCCTCTACATGAGTGTCTGTCCCCTACCCTCTACATGAGTGTCTGACCCTGACCCCTGCCCTCTACATGAGTGTCTGTCCCTGCCCTCTACATGAGTGTCTGACCCCTGACCCTACCCTCTACAAGGTGTCCCACCTCTGAGTGTCTGACCCCTGACCCTCTACATGAGTGTCTGACCCCTGCCCCTACAGATCTGCCCTCCCTTACATGAGTGTCTGACCCCTGACCCCTGCCCTCTACATGAGTGTCTGACCCCTGCCCTCTACATGAGTGTCTGACCCCTGACCCCTGCCCTCTACATGAGTGTCTGACCCCTGCCCTCTACATGAGTGTCTGACCCCTGACCCCTGCCCTCTACATGAGTGTCTGACCACCCTGCCCTCTACATGAGTGTTCTGACTCCCTGACCCCTACCCTCTACATGAGTGTCTGACCCTGCCCCACCCTCTACAGAGTGTCTGACCCCTCCCTCTACATGAGTGTCTGACCCCTGACCCTCTACAGAGTGTCTGACCCTGCCCCTACATGAGTGTCTGACCCCTGCCCTCTACATGAGTGTCTGACCCCTGCCCTCTACATGAGTGTCTGACCCCTGCCCTCTACATGAGTGTCTGACCCCTGCCCTCTACATGAGTGTCTGACCCCTGACCCTGCCTCTACATGAGTGTCTGCACCCCTGCACAGAGTGTCTGTCCTGCCCTCTACATGAGTGTCTGACCCCTGACCCTCTCTACAGGAGTGTCTGACCCCTGCCCTCTACATGAGTGTCTGACCCCTGACCCCTCTTACAGGAGTGTCTGACCCCTGCCCTCTACAGAGTGTCTGACCCTGCCCTCATGAGTGTCTGACCCTGCCCTCCTCTACAGGAGGTGGTCCTAGTCACCCTGCTACCTCTACATGAGTGTCTGACCCCTGACCCCTCCTCTACTCGAGTGCTGCCCTGCCCTCTACATGAGTGTCTGACCCCTGACCCCTCCCTCTACATGAGTGTCTGACCCCTGACCCCTCCCTCTACAGGAGTGTCTGACCCCTGCCCTCTACATGAGTGTCTGACCCCTGCCCTCCTCTACAGAGTGTCTGACCCTGCCCTGCCCTCTACATGAGTGTCTGACCCCTGACCCTCCCTCTACAGGAGTGTCTGACCCCTGCCCTCTACATGAGTGTCTGACCCCTGACCCCCCACAGGAGTGTCTGACCCCTGACCCCTGCCCTCTACATGAGTGTCTGACCCGACCCACTGCCGCCTCTACATGAGTGTCTGACCCCTGCCCTCTACATGAGTGTCTGACCCCTGACCCCTGCCCTCTACATGAGTGTCTGACCCCTGCCCTCTACATGAGTGTCTGTCCCCTGCCCTCTACATGAGTGTCTGACCCCCATGTGCTACCCCTGCCCTCTACATGAGTGTCTGACCCTGACCCCTGCCCTCTACATGAGTGTCTGACCCCTGCCCTCTACAGAGTGTCTGACCCCTGCCCTCTACATGAGTGTCTGACCCCTGCCCTACAGAGTGTCTGACCCCCCTCTACATGAGTGTCTGACCCCTGCCCTACAGAGGTCTGACCCTGCCCTCTACATGAGTGTCTGACCCCTGCCCTCTACATGAGTGTCTGCCCTGACCCCTGCCCTCTACATGAGTGTCTGACCCCTGCCCTCTACATGAGTGTCTGTCCCCTGCCCTCTACAGAGTGTTGACCTGCCCTCTACATGAGTGTCTGCCCCTGCCCTCTACATGAGTGTCTGACCCCTGCCCTCTACATGAGTGTCTGACCCTGACCCCTGCCCTCTACATGAGTGTCCCCGTCCCCTACCCTCTACATGAGTGTCTGCCCTGCCCTCTACGAGTGTCTGACCCCTGCCCTTACATGAGTGTCTGACCCCTGCCCTCTACAGGAGTGTCTGACCCCTGCCCTCTACAGGAGTGTCTGACCCCTGACCCCTGCCCTCTACATGAGTGTCTGACCCCTACCCTCTACATGAGTGTCTGTCCCCTGCCCTCTACATGAGTGTCTGACCCCTGCCCTCTACAGGAGTGTCTGACCCCTGACCCCTACCCTCTACAGGAGTGTCTGACCCCTGACCCCTGCCCTCTACATGAGTGTCTGACCCCTACCCTCTACATGAGTGTCTGTCCCCTGCCCTCTACATGAGTGTCTGTCCCCTGCCCTCTACATGAGTGTCTGACCCTACCCTCTACATGAGTGTCTGACCCCTGCCCTCTACAGGAGTGTCTGTCCCCTGCCCTCTACAGGAGTGTCTGACCCCTGACCCCTGCCCTCTACATGAGTGTCTGACCCCTACCCTCTACATGAGTGTCTGACCCCTGCCCTCTACATGAGTGTCTGACCCCCTGCCCTCTACAGGAGTGTCTGTCCCCTGCCCTCTACATGAGTGTCTGACCCCTGACCCCTGCCCTCTACAGGAGTGTCTGTCCCCTGCCCTCTACATGAGTGTCTGACCCCTGACCCCTGCCCTCTACAGGAGTGTCTGACCCCTGACCTCTACATGAGTGTCTGACCCCTGACCCCTGCCCTCTACAGGAGTGTCTGTCCCCTACCCTCTACAGGAGTGTCTGTCCCCTGCCCTCTACATGAGTGTCTGACCCCTGACCCCTGCCCTCTACATGAGTGTCTGTCCCCTACCCTCTACATGAGTGTCTGACCCCTGCCCTCTACATGAGTGTCTGCCCCCTGCCCTCTACATGAGTGTCTGACCCCTGCCCTCTACATGAGTGTCTGACCCCTGCCCTCTACAGGAGTGTCTGTCCCCTGCCCTCTACATGAGTGTCTGACCCCTGCCCTCTACATGAGTGTCTGACCCCTGCCCTCTACAGGAGTGTCTGACCCCTGACCCCTACCCACTACAGGAGTGTCTGACCCCTGACCCCTACCCTCTACAGGAGTGTCTGACCCCTGCCCTCTACATGAGTGTCTGACCCCTGCCCTCTACAGGAGTGTCTGACCCCTGACCCCTACCCACTACCCTCTACAGGAGTGTCTGACCCCTGACCCCTGCCCTTTACCCTCTACAGGAGTGTCTGAATCTGCCCACCCCTGCCGTCGACCTTGAGGGCGTGGCGTGTGTCGACCAACCAGAGCCCCGTGGACCTGTGACATCATCATGATCCCCACCGTGACCCGTATCCTCCCCTCCAGGGTGTCATCACCTCTCCTCCTGGTCACCATGTTGATGATGGCGGCCGCCGGCCCTGTCTCGGGGTCGGACGCGGAGACGTGTTTCTCCAGACAGCATCAGAACGCCACAGTGAATGTCCGTCAGGCGCTGGCTCGACCAACCACCGTCATGGACTCCAGAGTCGCCCAATCAGAGAGAGACTGTGTTCTGGCCTGCTGCTCAGAGGACGTCAAGCCAGGTAGGGAAGAGACAACACACACTAACACACAATAACACACAATAACACACAATAACACGCAATAACACGCTATTAACACGCTATTAACACACAATACACACACTAACACCCACTACACCCACTAACAAACACTACACACAATTAACACACACTAACACACACTAACCACACCTAACACACAATAACACACACTATCACACACTAACACACAATAACACACACTAACACACAATAACATGTAATAACACACACTAACACACACTAACACACAATAACAACACTAAACACACCTAAACAAAAACGACACACCTAACCCACACTACACACAATACCACACACGACACAAAAAAAACACATAACAAGTAATAACACACACTAACACACACTAACACACACTAACACACAACTAACACCACTAACAAACAATAACACACCTACATGTATAACACCACACACACACTAACCACACTAACACACACTAACACACCATAACACACATACATGTATAACAACACACTAACCACACTAACAACACATCACACACAATAACACACACTAACAACAACAATAACCGTAAAACACCACAACACACATAACACAACCTAACACACACAACACACATACACACACTAACACACAATAACAACACACGACCCCCAATAACATGTAATAACACACACTAACACACAATAAACACACACTAAACACTAACACACACTAACACGCAATAACAGCAATAACACACACCGACACGCACTAACACGCAATAACCGCAATAACACGCAAACCACACCTAACACACACTAACACACACTAACCCACTAACACACACTAACACGCAATAACACGCATAACACACACTACACCACTAACACGCAATAACACACACTAACACACCTAACCAACGCAATAACACGCCAATAACACAACAATAATACACATAACCACACTAACACACTACCACACATAACATCATAATACACCAAACACACACTACACCAATAACACACACTAACACACCTACACACACTAACCACACTAACACACACTAACCCCACAATAACACACACAAACACCATAACACACATAAACATGTAATAACAACCCTAAACACACACAACACACATAACACACAATAACACACACTAGACCACAATAACCAAATAATACACAATAACACACACTAACACACACTAACCCACACTTAACACACACTACACCATAATACACATAAGACCAATACACACCCTCAACACACATAACACAACCTCATACACAAACAGCACACACTAACCACATAAAAACACACACAACACACAATAACACACACTACACACAATAACACAACACGAACACACCCTAACACACACTAACCCACACTAACAAACACTAAACCACACTAACACACATCACCACACTAACACCCACACACACACTACCCACAAACACTAACAGGTACTAACACACACTACACACACTAACACAGCACTAACACATCAATAATACACAATAACCCCACTAACACCCACTAACACACATAACACACACTAACACCATAACCACACTACACACACTAACCCCATAACACTCACTAACACGCAATAACAACGCAATACCCACGCCAGAACATTTAATAAACACCAATACATATACAGAAATCACATAACACACAATACACGCTAGTAACACGGCTATTAACACGCTATTAACACACAATAACAAACACACACCAACTACACCAGTAACCAAAAAAAAAAAATAAAATCACACACATAAACACCCCATTAACACAATACACACAATAACACACAACACAATACACAAAGACCACCGGATAACACAACACAAACAACAAAATAAATGCAATACCCCGCAATAACACCCACACACACCACAATAACCACAATAACACCCACACACATAACAACACAATAACACACAATAACACCCAATAACCCCAAACACCACTAACCTACACTAACCCAACCTAACACTATAAACCACGCAATAACACGCAAACACACCTAACACACACTAACACACAATAACACACACTAACACCAATAACAAACCAACACACACTAACCCCCAATAACACACAAGAACAGGTAAATAACCACACTACACACCTAACACACCCTAACACACAATAATCACAATAACACACACTAACAACAATAACCACACTAACCACACACTAACACCCAATACACGCAATCCACGCAATACACGCAATAACATGTAATAAAACACAAATACATATACAGTAACATACACAATAACACACAATAACACGCTATTAACACGCTATTAACACGCTATTAACACACAATAACAAACACACACGCAATAACACACAGTAACCTAAAATAACACACCATAACACGCATTAACACAATAACACACAATAACACACACACAATAACACACAATAACACAAAATAACACAGGATAACACAAACACACAAAATAACCTGCAATACCACGCAATAACACACACACACACACAATAACACACAATAACACACACACACACAATAACACACAATAACACACAATAACACACCATAACAACACGCAATAACACGCAATAACACGCAATAACATGTAATAAAACACAAATACATATACAGTAACATACACAATAACACACAATAACACGCTATTAACACGCTATTAACACGCTATTAACACACAATAACAAACACACACGCAATAACACACAGTAACCTAAAATAACACACCATAACATGCATAACACATACCACCAATAACCCCCACCACCAATAACACAAAATACACAGATATCAACACAACACAAAAAATAACATCAATACCAACCATAACACACACACCCACCCCATAACCCACAATAACACAACCACCCACCACTAACACACAATAATCACACACACCATAACCGTACAGCAGCACATAACACACAATACACGAAAAAAAACCATTTAACCAGCAATACACCAATAACCACAATAACACACAATAACACACAACAACACTTACCACCCATTACCACCCAATAACACCCATTACCACCCATTACCACCCATTACCCCCCATTACCACCCATTACCACCCAATACCACCCATTACCCACCCATACACCCATTACCACCCAATACCACCCATTACCACCCATTACCACCCATTACCACCCATTACCGCCCATTACCACCCAATAACACCCATTACCACCCATTACCACCCATTACCACCCATTACCACCCATTACCACCCATTACCACCATTGCCGCCCATTACCGCCCATTACCACCCATTACCACCCAATACCACCCATTACCACCCAGTCCAGTTAGAGGAGAGACAACGCGGTGGATCTTTCCAACTGAAGGATGGTCAGTCGTAATCCTTCTCCCTGAGCCGAGCCTCCGTGTCCGGCTGTGCTCTCCTCCCCTCAGGTATAAAGTGCACCCTGGCTGTGTTCAACCCTCACAAGCCCTCTGAGCCTCCCAACAACCACAACTGCCAACTGTTCCACTGCCAGAATGAGCAGGACTGCCCCCTCCTGGCTGCTGAACAGGGCGTCAACACTTATGACATCTTCAAAGGTAAACACATCTCCCTTCCACTAGAAAGGCTGGGCCTGCTCAACACTAGTGGACTAGATAGATAACAATGGTTCTCAACCAGTGGACTAGATAGAGAACAAGTGCTCACCACTAGTGTACTATATAGCCGGGTGCTCAACCTAGTGTACTAGATAGAGACAGGTGCCCAACCTAGTTCTACTATAATAGAGGAACCGGTGCTCAACACTAGTGGACTAGATAGAGAACAGGGTGCTCACCACTAGTGTCTAGATAGAGAACAGTGTCCCAACACTTAGTTGGACTAGATAGAGAACAGGGTGCTCACCCACTCTATTCGTACTTCAGATAGATGAAACAGTGTTCCTCAAACACTATTGTACCTATACGATCCGAACAGTGGTGCTCAACACTAGTGTAAACTAGACTAAGAACAGGGTGCTCAACACTAGTGTACTCGGTAGAGGAACATGCGCTCCAGCCAACCCTATTGTACTAGATTAGAACAGGTCGCTCAACCCACTAGTGGACTAGGTAAGAACGGTGTCTTTCCATCCACTAGTGTAACTAGATAGAGAACAGGGTGCATGCAACACTAGTGGTACTAGATAAGAACAGGCGTACCTCGAACCCTATGTTACTAGAGAGAGAACAGGGGTGCTCAACACAGTGTACTAGATGAGAACATGGGCTCAACAACTAGTGACTAGATAGAGAAAATCATGGTGCTAAACACTAGTGGTCCTAGATAGAGAACAGGTGCTCAACACACTATGTACTATATAGCTCGGCCTCTCGTCAGGTTCTCTGTCCTACACTAGTGTCACGAGTAGAGAAAGGGCGCTCAATCAGCGCCTGTTGAGTGTGTCACAAGATGAGACCGGGCGCTCAACACTAGGCTGTACAGAGAGAGCAACAGGGCGCTCAACAGACTAATTGTAGCTGACACTGTGGACCAAGGGGTGGATGAACGGCCCCCCCGGACCGGGCGGGGGCGCCATCGCTAGGTCACACTAGTGACTAGATAGAGAACAGGCCGCTTCAACACAGTTTACTAGATAGAGAAACAGGGCGCTCATCACTAGTCGTCACTAGATAGAGACCATGGCGCCACACTAGTGTACTAATAGCAGAACAGGGCGCTCAACAAACTAACGTGTACTAGATAGATACAGGCGCGCTCAACACTAGTGTACTAAAGAGACAGGGCGCTCAACACTAGTGTACTATAGAGACACAGTGCGCTCAACACTAGTGTACGAATAGAGACAGGGTGCTCAACACTAGTGTACTAGATAGAGAACAGGGCGCTCAACACTAGTTGTTCCTAGATAAGAACAGGGCGCTCAACACTATTGTACTAAGGTATAAGAACAGGGCGCTCTCAACAACTAGTGGTACTAGAATAGATGAACAGGTGCTCAACACTAGTGTACGAATAGAGAACAGGGCGCCTCAACACTAGTGTACTAGATAGAGAACAGGGTGCTCAACACTAGTGTCTAGAGATAGCTAGACAGGTGCCTCAACACTAGTGTACTAGATAGAGAACAGGGTGCTCACACTAGTGTACAGATAGAGACAGGGTGCTCACACTAGTGTACTAGATAGAGAACAGGGTGCTCCACTAGTGTAACTAGATAGAGAACAGGGTGCTCAACACTAGTGTGCATACGGAACACGGGTTCTCACACCTAGTGTACTAGATGCAGACGTGGCCGCTCAACACTAGTGTTTACTAGTAAGAACCGGCGCGCTCACCTAGTGTACTAGGTAGAGAACTGCGCTCAAACACTAGTGTTACTAGATATATAGAACCGGGTGCTCAACCCTAGTGTACTAGATAAGAAACAGGGTGCTCAACACTCTGGACTAGATAGAGAACAGGGTGCTCAACATAGTTGTACTAGATAGAGAACATGGTTCTCAACACTATTGTACTAGAATAGAGAACCGGGTGCTCACACTATGTACTAGAATAGAGAACAGGGCGCTCAACACTAGTGGTACTCGATAGAGAACAGGCGCTCAACACGAGTGTCCTAGATAGGAACAGGGCGCTTAACACGCTAGGGACTAGAAGAGAACAGTGCGTCACCTAGTGTAATTAGATGAGAACAGGGCTCTCACATCTTGACTCGTATATAGAAACAGGGCCGCTCAACACTAGTCTATATAGAGAACAGGGCGCTCACCACTAGTGTACTCAGATAGAGACCAGGGTGCTCACCCCTAGTTACTAGATAGAGAACAGGGCTCTCACACTAGTGTACCTGATGAGAACAGGGCGCTCAACACTAGTGTACTAGATATAGAAAGGGCGCTCAACACTAGTGTACTATATAGAGAACGGTCTCACCACTAGTGTACTAGATAGAGAACAGGGCGCTCTACCCTAGTGTACTAGATAGAGGAACATAGGGCGCTCAACACTAGTGTACTAGGTAGAGAACAGGGCGCTCAACCCTAGTGTACTAGATAGAGAACAGGGGCCAACACTAGTGTACAGATATAGAAAGGGCGCTCACACTAGTGTACTAGATAGAAACATGGCTTGCTCACACTATTGTACTAGATAGAGAACAGGGTGCTCAACACTATGTTATACTAGATGAGAACAGGGTGCCAACACTAGTGTATACTAGATATATAACAGGGTGCTTCACACTAGTGTACTAATAGATAACAGGGTGCTCAACACTAGTGTACTAGAATATAGAACGGGTGCTCAACACTAGTGTACTTAGATAGAGAAACATGGTGCTCAACACTAGTGTACTAGATAGAGAACAGGGCGCTAACACTAGTGACTAGATGAGAACAGGTGCCCAAACTATGTAAGATAGAGAACAGGGCGCTCAACACTAGTGAACAGGAAGAGCAGGCTCACTGTGCAAAAGGGAACGGGCTCTCAACATAGTGTATAGATAGAGAACAGGGTGCTCAACATAGTTCTTAGAGAGAAAGGGCAACATAGTGATAGAAAACAGGGTACTAGTAAAAGAACAGGTGAAAAAGGATGAAAACAGGTGGTCAACTAAGTAACTGTGATCAACAGGCGCTAACTAGTGTACAGATAGGCAACAGGGTGCTCAAAAAGTAGGAACAGGGTTAAACATAGTGTACTAGATAGAGAACAGTTAAAAATAGTGGGCTAAAAGAAAGGGGCTCAAAAGAATAAGATAGAGACAGGGCTCAACAAGGACATAGGCTAACAGGGTCTAACAATGTATAGTGGAAAGGGCTCAACATAGTGAATAGTAAGAACAGGACGAAAAAAAGTGTACAGAAAAAGGCTGATAGAACGGGTGCTCAACACTAGTGATTATAAGATAGAGAACAGGGCGCTCAAACATAGTGTCTACATAGGATAGGAACAGGGTGTACTAATAGGAAGAAGGCGCTCAACACTAGTGTACTAGGGAACAAACAGGGCGTAACACTATGTATAGTAGAGAACAGGGGCCTCAAAACTAGTGTACTAAAGAAACAGGGCGCTCAACACTAGTGACTACTAAGAACGCTCAACAGTATGTCAGTAGGAACAGGGGCTAAAACTGGACTAGGTAAGAAGGTAAACGGGGCCAACTAGTGAGAAAGACAGGCGCCATAAGTACTAGATAGAGAACAGGGGGTCACATAGTGTATAGATAGAGAACAGGGGCGCTCAACACTAGGACTGATAGAGAACGGGCGCTCAACACTGGTACTAGATAGAGAAAAGGGGCCAACACTAGTGGACTAGATAGGAACAGGGCTCAACACTAGTGTACTAGATAGAGAAAGGGTGCTCAACACTAGTGGACTAGATAGAGAACGGGTGTCAACCCCTAGTGATAGATAGGAACAGGGTGCTAAACATAGTGTACTAGATAAGAGAACAGGGCGTCTCAACACTAGTGTACTAGATAGAGAACAGGGCGCTCAACACTAGTGTACTAGGTAGAGAACAGGGCGCTCAACACTAGTGTACTAGATAGAGAACAGGGTGCTCAACACTAGTGTACTAGATAGAGAACAGGGCGCTCAACACTAGTGTACTAGATAGAGAACAGGGGTGCTCAACACTAGGTACTAGATAGAGAACAGGGGCTCAACATAGTGTACTAGATAGAGAACAGGGCAGCCAACCTAGTGTATAGATGAGAGACAGGGTCAACACTAGGTACTAGATAGAGAACAGGGGCTCAAACATAGTGTATATAAGAGAACAGGGTGCTCAAACACTAGTGTACTAGATAGAGAACGGGCGCTCAACACTAGTGTATAGATAGAGAACAGGGTCTCAACACTAGTTATAGTAGAGAGACAGGGTGCTCACACCTAGTGTACTAGATAAGAACGGGGCTCAAACTATGTCTGATAGAGAACAGGGCGCTCAACACTAGTGTACTAGATAGAGAACGGGGCTCACACTAGTGTACTAGATAGAACAGGGCGCTAACATAGTGTACTAGATAGAGAACAGGGTGCTCAACACTAGGTACTAGATTAGAAAGGAGCGCACAACCTAGTGGACTAGATAGAGAACAGGGTGCTCAACACTAGTGTACTAGATAGAGAACAGGGTGCTCAACACTAGTGTACTAGATAGAGAACAGGGCGCTCAACACTAGTGTACTAGATAGAGAACAGGGTGCTCAACACTAGTGTACTAGATAGAGAACAGGGCGCTCAACACTAGTGTACTAGATAGAGAACAGGGCTCAACACTAGTGTACTAGATAGAGAACAGGGTGCCAACACTAGTGTACAGATAGAGAACAGGGTGCTCAACACTAGTGTACTAGATAGAGAACAGGGCGCTCAACACTAGTGTACTAGATAGAGAACAGGGCGCTCAACACTAGTGTACTAGATAGAGAACAGGGCGCTCAACACTAGTGTACTAGATAGAGAACAGGGTGCTCAACACTAGTGTACTAGATAGAGAACAGGGTGCTCAACACTAGTGTACTAGATAGAGAACAGGGCGCTCAACACTAGTGTACTAGATAGAGAACAGGGCGCTCAACACTAGTGGACTAGATAGAAAGTGCTCACCTAGTGTACTAGATGAGATAAGGGTGCTCAACACTAGTGTACTAGATAGAGAACAGGTGTCAACACTAGTGTTAAATGATACAGACGGGATACCTGACTAGTCCAAACACGGCGCTAACCCTATGTACTAGATAGAGAACAGGTGCAACACTAGTTACTAGATAGCAACACAGGGACCAACACTAGTACTAGATAGAGAACAGGCGCTCAACCTAGTGTACTAATAAGAACAGGGTGCTCAACACTAGTGTACTAGATAGAAACAGGGGCTCAACACTGACTAGCACAGAACCAGGCTCAACTATGTACTAATAGGAACAGGGTCCACTAGGTCAGACAACATCTCAACCTATTACTAGATAAGCCAGTGCTCAACCTATGTACTGTAAGAACAGGGGGTCCGTGTCGCACCTTAGTCTTTGTGCTCTTGTCTTGTTGTTGTTGTTGTTGTTGTTGTGTTGTGTTTTACAGAGTCCTTCATCTCTGCGTGAGTCATGTTCTGATGTCATGTTTTCCAAGGTCTGATTCATCCCACCACGGAGATACCTACTCCACCTTCCACAACCCGACCAGCTACTCCTACTACTACTACTGCTACTGCTACTGCTACTACTACTACTGCTACTCCACCTTCCACAACCCGACCAGCTACTTCCTACTACTGCTACACTACTACTATACTAACATACACATACTACTACTACTACTCCAGCCCCAACCACCACCACCACACCACCCACTACTACTACTACTGCTACTACTACTCCACCTTCCACAACCCGACCAGCTACTCCTACTCCTACTACTCCTACTACTACTCCTACTACTACTACTACTCCAGCCCCAACCACCACCACCACACCACCCACTACTACTACTACTGCTACTACTACTACTACTACTCCAGCCCCAACCACCACCACCACACCCACTACTACTACTACTACTCCAGCCCCAACCACCACCACACCACCCACTACTACTACTACTACTACTACTATTACCACCACCAAACCAACCACCACAACACAACCTACTACCACAACCACAACAAAACAAACAACATCCTGGCCGCTAACAGAGATCCACACTACTCCAACAACAACATCCTGGCCACTAACAGAGATCCACACTACTCCTACAACAACATCCACAACAACCACAACCACACAGATGACCAGAAAGCCCAATAAACCTCCCCAAAAAACAAACAAATCGTCAAAAAAAAACAAACCACATCCTGCCACTACAACAAAAACAACCTCTTTACCTGTCCCAAATACCACAGCTACCACCCCTCCAACGACCCCATAGAGACCCAGCTACCACCCCTACAGCACCAACGCCCCATAGAGACCCAGCTACCACCCCTACAGCACCAACGCCCCGTAGACACCCAGCTACCACCCCTCCAGCACCAACGCCCCATAGAGACCCAGCTACCACCCCTACAGCACCAACGCCCCGTAGACACCCAGCTACCACCCCTCCAGCACCAACGCCCCATAGAGACCCAGCTACCACCCTACAGCACCAACGCCCGTAGACACCCAGCTACCCCCCCCTACAGCAACCAACGCCCGTAGAACACCCGCTTACCACCCTCAGCACCCCATAGAGAACCCAAGCTACCACCCCTCCAGCACCCCATAGACACCCAGCTACCACCCCTCCAGCACCAACGCCCCGTAGAGACCCAGACCCCATCAGAACTACTGAAAGACTCCAGCCAGCAACCACCACCACCACCACCACCACTACTACTGCTGCTACCACCACCACTATGACCCCAGCAGCCATTGAGCCCCTAAACCCAAGGACAACACCAGAAAAGGATCTGTTGCTGGTGCCCAAGGGGGTCCAGGCAGACCCAGCCTCCCCAGGGACAGAGGGTCAGGGCGGGGGGAAGGAGGTGGCAGGGCGGGGGGCTCTGAAGAGCTCCCTGGTGGCTGTAGTGGTGGTGGGCCTGGCCATCCTGACTCTGGCCCTGGCTGTGGTGGGACGCAAGGCCATGGAGTCATTCGACCGGCGACACTACACCAGGCTGGAGCTCAATGACCTACACTATGAGGTGTGATTGGACCCTCAGACACACACACACACACACACACACACACACACACACACACACACACACACACACACACACACACACACACACACACACACACACACACAACACACACACGTCCTGGTTCACAAAGGGATCACCCAGAGAGACAATGAACAAGACTCACAGGGAAAGAAAGGACCACCATGCAAAAATAATCTCTTCTTCTCTTCAGTTTGCTCTGTTTTAGTTCAACGGTTTCTTTAACCACATTTCTATTAGATAAGAAACACCTTCAGTTTCATTTTAATAACATATCAATGTACTGTCATTCATTACAACACAATAACTATAGAGTCGTTGAACAGACCCCTCTTGTAGTATTCTAGAACAGTAGAGAGATATCAGAGGGCTCTAGAACAGTAGAGAGATATCAGAGGGCTCTAGAACAGCAGAGAGATATCAGAGGGCTCTAGAACAGTAGAGAGATATCAGAGGGCTCTAGAACAGTAGAGAGATATCAGAGGGCTCTAGAACACTAGAGAGATATCAGAGGGCTCTAGAACAGTAGAGAGATATCAGAGGGCTCTAGAACAGTAGAGAGATATCAGAGGGCTCTAGAACAGCAGAGAGATATCAGATGGCTCTAGAACAGTAGAGAGATATCAGAGGGCTCTAGAACACTAGAGAGATATCAGAGGGCTCTAGAACAGTAGAGAGATATCAGAGGGCTCTAGAACAGCAGAGAGATATCAGAGGGCTCTAGAACAGTAGAGAGATATCAGAGGGCTCTAGAACACTAGAGAGATATCAGAGGGCTCTAGAACAGTAGAGAGATATCAGAGGGCTCTAGAACAGCAGAGAGATATCAGATGGCTCTAGAACAGTAGAGAGATATCAGAGGGCTCTAGAACACTAGAGAGATATCAGAGGGCTCTAGAACAGTAGAGAGATATCAGAGGGCTCTAGAACAGCAGAGAGATATCAGAGGGCTCTAGAACAGTAGAGAGATATCAGAGGGCTCTAGAACACTAGAGAGATATCAGAGGGCTCTAGAACAGTAGAGAGATATCAGAGGGCTCTAGAACACTAGAGAGATATCAGAGGGCTCTAGAACAGTAGAGAGATATCAGAGGGCTCTAGAACAGCAGAGAGATATCAGAGGGCTCTAGAACAGTAGAGAGATATCAGAGGGCTCTAGAACACTAGAGAGATATCAGAGGGCTCTAGAACAGTAGAGAGATATCAGAGGGCTCTAGAACAGTAGAGAGATATCAGAGGGCTCTAGAACAGTAGAGAGATATCAGAGGGCTCTAGAACAGTAGAGCGATATCAGAGGGCTCTAGAACACTAGAGAGATATCAGAGGACTCTAGAACAGTAGAGAGATATCAGAGGGCTCTAGAACACTAGAGAGATATCAGAGGGCTATGGAATAAAGAATCTCAAGCAGCAATATCTCTATTCCAACAACTCAGGAACCCTCTGAATTTAAAGGCGATAGTGTCATTTGGGTGCACTATCCCTTTAAGCAAACAGATAGGGCCAGAAATTGATAGGGCCACAAGGTAATAGGGCCACAAATTGATAGCCTCCTCTATGTACAGGAGAGTCAGTGGAGGCTGGTGAAGGGAGGACAGCTCATAATAATGGCTGGAATGGATAAGGGTACAACTGACTGAGACCTTTAATGAGGAGGAACTGACTGAGACCTTTAATGAGGAGGAACTGACTGAGACCTTTAATGAGGAGGAACTGACTGGGACCTTTAAAGAGGAGGAACTGACTGGGGCCTTTAAAGAGGAGGAACTGACTGGGACCTTTAATGAGGAGGAACTGACTGAGACCTTTAATGAGGAGGAACTGACTGGGACCTTTAATGGGGAGGAACTGACTGAGACCTTTAATGAGGAGGAACTGACTGGGACCTTTAATGAGGAGGAACTGACTGGGACCTTTAATGAGGAGGAACTGACTGGGACCTTTAATGAGGAGGAACTGACTGAGACCTTTAATGAGGAGGAACTGACTGAGACCTTTAATGAGGAGGAACTGACTGGGACCTTTAAAGAGGAGGAACTGACTGGGGCCTTTAAAGAGGAGGAACTGACTGGGACCTTTAATGAGGAGGAACTGACTGAGACCTTTAATGAGGAGGAACTGACTGGGACCTTTAATGGGGAGGAACTGACTGAGACCTTTAATGAGGAGGAACTGACTGAGACCTTTAATGAGGAGGAACTGACTGAGACCTTTAATGAGGAGGAACTGACTGAGACCTTTAATGAGGAGGAACTGACTGAGACCTTTAATGAGGAGGAACTGACTGGGACCTTTAATGAGGAGGAACTGACTGAGACCTTTAATGAGGAGGAACTGACTGGGACCTTTAATGAGGAGGAACTGACTGGGACCTTTAATGGGGAGGAACTGACTGGGACCTTTAATGAGGAGGAACTGACTGAGACCTTTAATGCGGAGGAACTGACTGGGACCTTTAATGAGGAGGAACTGACTGAGACCTTTAAAGAGGAGGAACGGGACTGGGCCCTTTTAATGAGGAGGAACTGACTGGGACCTTTAATGAGGAGGAACTGACTGGGACCTTTAATGAGGAGGAACTGACTGAGACCTTTAATGAGGAGGAACTGACTGAGACCTTTAATGAGGAGGAACTGACTGGGACCTTTAATGAGGAGGAACTGACTGAGACCTTTAATGAGGAGGAACTGACTGAGACCTTTAACGAGGAGGAACTGACTGAGACCTTTAATGAGGAGGAACTGACTGGGACCTTTAATGAGGAGGAACTGACTGAGACCTTTAATGAGGAGGAACTGACTGGGACCTTTAATGAGGAGGAACTGCACAGTGTGTAAGGTACAGTAAGAGATTCCCTTCTCTTCTGCATGTTAACCATCTATAGCCATATGATGATGTCTGTGGCTGCTTTTTGTAATCACCAACTCCAATCTAAATGTCTGACTGACTGTAACTCATGTTTTTCACTGTGCTATATCCTGGGTTATTACTTTGCTTCTGGCAGAGTCCTGGACGAACAGAATGATGGATGCAAATCTTTAAAATCCGATGCACTATGGTATCCTATGTTTTTGATAATATACACTTCTTTTTAAACGGTAAGATTGTTTTCATAGGTAGATGACACTGGCTGCACACTATTTTCACAAGTCGATTTCTATTGTATACAATGTGAGTATGCGAGCGAGTGTGCACTTATACAGAAGAATGTGTGAGATTACTGACTGACTGACAGAGTGGAATGAAGGAATGCCCACTGGTAGGCTAGATGTAATACCATGATGTACCACAAGGTGGCGCAGCGTTAATGTAATACCATGATGTACCACAAGGCAGCGCAGCGTTAATGTAATACAAGGATGTACCACAAGGCAGCGCAGCTATCTTAGAAACCACTACTGACTTCTTATTGGCTTGCAGCGCAGTCACTTTAAAACCTGTCACACCACTCGGGAGCATGGAGCCAAATTTAATATAATTGCACAAAATTATAACCTTGTTTATTACTGGTATTGCTTTGATAATTTGTAAGGTGTAGTTTTGTCTTATTTTGTGACGTGTTGCTTTCCAATCACTTTGGGATTAGATGTTTTATTAACTGAGTTCTTGTAAGAAAATAAAATGTGATTTTTGAATAATGTTTCTGGAGTACCATTTTTATCTACTTTAACTCACAGTGAAGTGGTTTTGAAATAAAGAAGCGCACAAAGCTTTGCAGTCAAAAAATTGTTGCTTGCTCTAGAAGTGATGAAAAGCATTCTCTCTCTCTCTCTCTCTCTCTCTCTCTCTCTCTCTCTCTCTGTGTGTGGTCTCTCCCTCTCTCTCTCTCTCCTCTCTCTCTCTCTCTCTCTCTCTCTCTCTCTCTCTCTCTCTCTCTCTCTCTCTCTCTATTCAATTTAAGGGCTTTATTGGCATGGGAAACGTTGTGTTAACATTGCCAAGCAAGTGAAGTAGATAGTAAACAAAGTGAAATAAACAATAAATATTAACAGTAAACATTACACTCAGAAGTTTCAAAAGAATAAAGACATTTCAAATGTCATATTATGTATATATACAGTGTTTGTAACAATGTGCAAATAGTTAAAGTACAAATGGGAAAATAAATAAACATAAATAGTGGGTTGTATTTACTTTGGGGGTTTGTTCTTCACGGGTTCCCCTTTTCTTGGGGCAACGGTCCAAATTTGCAGCTGTGATGGCACACCCTTTGGGGGATTTCATCCAATGATATGGAGTTGTCAAAAGGGTTTTTTTTTTCGTTCTTTTTGGTCTGTGTAATCGAGGAAAAAATTTGTTTAATAGGGTAAAATTTTGGCAGGGGTTGGAAATGCCCCCAGTTTCCACCCTTTTTTCTCTCTCTCCTCTCTTCTCTCTTGTGTGTGTTTTTTGGCTCTCTCTTTCTTTTTTTCTTTTTCCCTTTTTTTTCCCCTCTCTTTCTTCTCTTTTTCTCTCTCTCTTCCCCTTCTCTTCTCCAATACCCGCACACGACACATTTGGCCCAAATCCCTTTTGCTGCTTTTCCTTTTTTCCTTTTTAGTCATTTAGCAGACGCTTTTACCGGCAATTTAAAAAGGGTAAATTAAGCTTTCCCAAGGCTTTTTCCCCCTAGTCGGTCGGGTTTCAAACCAGCGGGTTTTGGGTTAATAGCTTAACCGCTAGGCAAACTCCCACCCATGAACTGGATCATCCTTTAGTTACCTATAGCCTTTGAACTGGACGCCTTTATTAGCCTTAGCCATTAAAGGGAAAACCCCTTTTTAGAGCCTTCTCTATTGAACGGAGTCCTTTAGTTAGCCTTAAGCTCTTTTTGAACTGGATGCCCTTAGTTAGTATAGCTCATTGAACTGGACGCCCTTTTTTTTTAGCCTAAGCTCTTTTTGAATGGATCGCCCTTTTAGTTGCCATGTTTATTAAACCGGTCATCCTTTATTTTGCCCTATAGCTTATTGAACTGGTTCGCCCTTTATTTACCCTTGCTCTTTTTAAAAAACGGATCGTCCTTTAGTTAGCCAATTTTCTTTTGAACTGGATGTCCTTTATTACCCTATAGCTTAGGGAATGGCTCCTTTTATTAGCATACTCTTTTGGACTGATGTCCTTTAGTTGCCTATAGCCTATTGAACGGGTTCGCCTTTTAAGTAGCCTTACTCTATTGAACGGATGTTTTTGTTAGCCTATAGTCTATGAACGGTCTCCTTTTTTAGCCTTTTTAGCTCTATTGAACTGGATCGTCCTTATTTACCATAGCTCTTTTGAACTGGATCGTCCTTTAGTTAGCCATAGCCTTTTGAATGGATCTCCTTTTTATTAGCTATACCCTTATTAAAACTGGATCGCCCTTTTAGTTAGCCATAGCTTTATTGAACTGGTTCGTCCTTTAGTTAGCCTATAGCTTTTTAAACTGGATCGCCCTTTTGGTACCCTATACTCTTGGAACTGGAGTCTTTATTAGCCTTAGTTTTGAACGGATCGTCCTTTATTTCGCCTATAGTCTTTGAACTGGTCGCCTTTAGTACCCTATAGCTTTTTAAACTGGAACCCTTTGTTAGCTATAGCTCTATTGAACGGGATCGCCCCTTTATTTTTGCCTAAGCTCATGAATGGATCATCCCTTTTAGTTGCCTAGCCTTTTGAACGGGAGTCCTTTATTAGCCTATGCTCTATTGACTGGTTTCTTCTTTTTTCTTATACCTCTATTAAAGGATCGCCTTTGTAGCCTATAGCTCTATTGAACTGATCATTTTTTAGTTAGCCTATGTCTATTAACGGTCGTCCTTTAGTACCAAGTCTATTGAACTGGATCGTCTTTATTTAGCTATACTCTTTTGAATGGATCGTCCTTTAGTTAGCCTTGTCTATGAACGGATCGTCCTTTAGTTAGCCTTTTAGTCTATTGAACTGGATCGCCCTTTATTGCCTATAGCCATTGAACTGGATCGCCCTTTTATTACCCCAACCCTCTATTAACGGACGCCCTTTTATTTTAGCCTATAGCTCTATTGAAGGATCGCCCTTTTAGTTACCTATGCCCTATTAAAAAAGGTTTTGCCCTTTTTAGTTAGCCAAGTGGTTTGCCCTTTTTAGTTAGCCATAGTTTTTGAAGGGGTCTTTATTGGGCCATAGCTTATTGAAGGGGGTGTCCTTTGTTAGCCAAAGCTCATTGAACGGACGCCTTTAGTTAGCTATAGCCTATTAAGGATGTCCTTTAGTTAGCTTAGCCTATTGAAGGGGATGCCCTTTATTTTAGCCTTAGCTTTTAAACGGATCGTCCTTTTTTACCTATAGTCTTTTGAACGGGATCGTCCTTTTTTACCCTATACTCTATTAAAACGGACGTCCTTTATTTACCCTTAGTCTATTGAACTGGATCGCCTTTTTTTAGCCTATAGCCTTTTGAATGGATCGCCCTTTATTAGCCTATAGCTCTATTGAACTGGATCGTCTTTATTTTGCCTAAGCTTATAAAACGGATCGCCCTTTTATTTAAGCCTAAGCTCTTTTGAACTGGATCGCCTTTTTTAGCCTATACCCTTTATTGAACTGGATCGTCCTTTATTTAGCCTAGCTCTATTGAATGGAAACGTCCTTTAGTTGCCAAACCCTCTATTGAACGGATCGTCCTTTAGTTACCCTATAGTTTTGAACTGGATGTCCTTTAGTTAGCCTATAGCTCATTGAAGGATCGCCTTTTAGTTAGCCTATACTCTATTAAAATGGACGTCCTTTATTTTAGCCTAAGCTATTAAAAGGATCGTCCTTTAGTTAGCCTATGCTTATAAAACTGGTCCCCTTTTTATTAGCCTATGCTCATTGAACGGATCGCCCTTTAGTTAGCCTTACTCTATTGAAATGGATCGTCCTTTAGTTAGCCTATAGCTCTATTGAACGGATCATCCTTTGTTGTATAGCTTATTGACTGGATACCCTTTATTTTAGCCAATACCTCTATGGAACGGATCGCCCTTTTTAGTTACCCTATAGCCTATTGAATGGATGTCCTTTATAGCCTTAGCTTATTAAACTGGATCGTCCTTTTAGTTAGCATATAGCTCATTGAACTGGATCTTCCTATGTTATGCTATAGCTATAATTGAACTGGACGTCCTTAGTTCACTATAGCTCTATTGAACTGGAATGTCCTTTAGTTACGCCTATACCTATGAACTGGATCATCACTTAGTTAGCCTATAGCTCTATTGAACATGATCGTCCTTGTTGGCATACCTCTATGAACGGATTCGCACTTTAGTTAGCCTATAGCTTAATTGAATGGATCGTCCTTTAGTAGGCCTATAGCTCATGAACTGGTCATCTTAGTTAGCCTAAGCTCATTGACTGGACGTCCTTTATTAGGCTATGCTCTATTGAACGGATCATCTTTATTACCTATAGCCTATAACTGGGATCGTCCTTGGTAGCCAAGCTCTATTGAACTGGATCGTCATTAGTTAGCCTATAGCTCTATGAACTGGATCGTCTTTAGTAGCCTATGCTCTATTGAACTGGATCGTCCTTTAGTACCTATAGCTCTATTGTAACTGGATCATCTTTAGTTCGCCTATAGCTTTGAATGGATCGTCTTTAGTTGCCTATAGCTCTATTGACTGGACGTCATTAGTTAGCCTTGCTCATTGAACTGGATCGTCTTTAGTAGCCTATAGCTCTATTGAACTGGATCATCCTTAGTTGCTAACCTCTATTGACTGGATCATCTTTAGTTAGCCTATAAGCTCTATGAACTGGTCGTCCTTTAGTTAGCTATACTCTATAATGGATCGTCATTTAGTTAGCTTAGTCTAATGAACTGGAATCGTCCTTT